TAACAGTCACAAAGTAATAACTCATTTAAAAGAAGTACCTGGCCAGAGAGGATGTGATTTCAGATGCAGACACCATTCTCTAAGCGTTATTTTTAGGTTTCATTTTTATAGCAATTTTTAACGAGAACGTATACAGAACATTGCCTATATTCAACCATAAACTTCAAAATATTGCACCGAAGTGTGATTAATGTTTTAATATGTTTAATGTTTTAGAGTCATTAGTCGACTATTACATCTATAGACAAAATCTTACACATAGCCTATAAATATTCTACATTCTATGAATTCCATATTTTACCTTTTGAGCTTTGAGGATCAATAAAATCCCCATATACAACATATGGGGACTTTAACTGTCTCTCTTGTGCATTAATAGATGGAGTCAGCAGTTTCACAGATTCGTCGAACTGCAGCCCCACTAACCAGCTTCACCACTGCCCTGGATGACATCACAGAAACAAATACGACGGTCACAGAAACAAATGCTTCCTGCGAATTTTCAAAGATCCCCTCTCACCCTGCTTTCATATTTGCATACTCACTAGTGTTTCTCGTCAGTCTGGTGCTTAATTGCATCACGATGCGGGTTTATTTCTTTTCCAATCAGCGAGTTCAGTCCAGCGTCACGGTCTACATGAAGAACCTGGCGGCAGCTGACTTCTTCCTTTGCCTTTGTTTGCCTTTGCGCATTGCTAACTACACCAACAGTTCAGATATAATGCGCAATATTTACTGCAGCTTTGGAGCAACAGCATTCTATCTTAATATGTATGCAAGCATTCTCTTTATGGACTTTATTGCTGCAAACAGGTATGCAACTCACGCAAGCACCTACTTAAGTTCACCTATGAGCAGCCATTATACAGCACTGCTATTGACAACAGTCATTACTGAGGAATAATGTCAGACTGTCACGAATGTCAAATCAAAATCAGAGAGCTGTGTAATAATATCAAAAATTAAACCTCCCTCTCATTTCCATTACAGCTTTATTCAGAAATAAACATATATAATTTCAAGCATGGCTGCAAAAAAAAACAACATTGCTATTTTTTAATTAAGTAATTTAAATGCATTTATGTATTATAACATTATATTAATATTTTACTCTTACCTCAGGTACCTGAAGATTGTCCGGCCGTTGGAGACTCATCCTCTGCAGACGGTTCGTACCGCTCGACACATTTCCATAGGAACGTGGCTTTCCCTGTTAGCCATGTCTTCCGTCTACTTCATCCTCTTTCTCCTGACCTCTTGGGGTCACGTTCACAAGCCTGAGAAAAGCGGCTGCGAGGCCTTACACAGTCCCCAGCTCAGTCTGGTCTACAAAATCACTCACAGTGTGTCTATGGTGCTCTTCACGTTTGTGCTGGTGTCTCTGATTGCTTTGTACTGGGGGACTTTGCAAAAGATCAAACAAGCTCAGTTGTCCACACAGACCACATCCAGAAGCCATAAATTCAGGAAATCGAAGCGTAATATGCTGGTGCTCGTGGTGGTTTTTTGTGTATGCTTTGTGCCCTACCATTTGGTTAGGCTGCCTTACGCATTCATCAAACCTCAGACGAAGCTCTGCACGGCGCAGGCGTTCTACGTCCTGAAGGAGCTGACTGTCCTGCTATCGGTGCTCAATGCTTGTCTGGATCCACTTATATACTTTATCTTCTGCAAGGCCTTCAGAGCCCAGCTGGGCCTCAGGAGGATGTCCGATTCAATGAGAGACAGCGACGATAAAAGCCAGCAAAGACGAATGAGCAACATGTTGAGCTACATTGAAACAAAGATTTCCACATTACGACGTGAAAGTGTCATTTAACACAAAAAAATCTCTTGAAGGATGACACTGTCCTACTAACAATGAAACAAACTATGCAATGCAGATGAAGGCTCATTCAATCTAATGCAGTGTAATACATCAATTTATTAGGTTCCTTCCTTTTCTACGTGCAACATTTTATTTTCACTTTCAGTTGATTACAGCGTGAAGATGATATAGAGAATGTGTTGTAAGAAATTCATTTTGAAGATTCAAACTGATATTTTATCTTGAAAAATGTGACCTCTTCTACCTGACCACCCAACCAAAACTGGAATTGGGGATGTGCTTTTTTTTTTACAAGTTATAGTGCAATATAATTAATATACAAATGGACAGAACATAATATATATATATATATATATATATATATATATATTGTTAATTGTCTGCGTATAGGCAAATGCAGAACCAATCTATATTCTACTACTGTGTATACACTGTTAAAAAGTTTGAAGTCAGTAAGAAAAATTTTTTAATAAATGTATACTTTTATTCAGCAAAGATGCATTCAATTGTTCGAAAGAGATAGTAAAGACATTTATAATGTTACAGAATATTTATGTTTCAAATAAATGCTGTTCATTAGAACTTTCTATTCAACAAAGAATCCTGAAAATAATGTGTCACAGTTTCCACACGGTTTCAAACCAGATAAAAAAAATTATACATTTATTATTTTATAATTATAAAATTATAATAATACAAAAAAATGTTTCTTGAGCAGCAAATCAGCATATTAGAATGATTTCTGAAGGATCATGTGACACTGAAGACTGGAGCAATGATGCTGAACACTCAGCTTTGCATAACAGGAAGAAATGACATACAAATATATTTTGTATATTTGTATAAATGTACAGTATATTTTATATACTTACGGTTTACTGATCAAATGATTGCAATATATATATATATATATATATATATATATATATATAAAGAGATA